ACCTGTTTCATATTTCCCACGTGCCCTAAGGCTCTCTCAGCCTTTTCAGATTGTCAGTCCAGATTGACCCTTTCAGTTGTCAATCTGAAAACATGCAGAAAGAAAACAAATCTGCAATAGTTTCCAGCAACAGGAAACTAGTTGTGGTGCTCTGATTTCTAACTGTGTGTGCCCTTCTGCAAGCAGAGCATCAGGGAGTCACTGAGATGACAGCACTCAGGAATCACACAAGGTATGAGCCAAGGACTGTCCCTGTGTGTCCCTCTGGAGATCTGCCAGAATCACGGCATTTATCCATATCAAGACCTTGTGGATAATTTGCTGTTAGAAGCAGGTTTATTTAGACCTCAGCGTGCCTGTATGTTTCCTTAATCCCACACTTGTGTAACTCAGAAAAAAAGGCACAATCTTAGGACAGTGAGGTTTTAAAAGGAGCCAGACATCACCATGATCACTCTGCCCAGGCACTCATTTGATACAGTCCCTCACTCTGAGCTGGGATATGGAAAGAGAGATAGAGATGGAGCACAAGTCAGCACAAATTGTTTCAGGAAAGTAGTGGCATTTCTCCACCAGCTGTCCCAAACATTTAATGTCCACTCTCTGGAATATAAAGCAATGCAAAAGTGTCTTTAGCAAAAATTATCCTGGTGCCTTATCTTTTGGATGCTTAAAAGTCTCCAAGGTTACCTCTGAGGCTTGTCCATTGCTGTTAAAGCCCAAGGGATTCATCTGAACCAGCATGTTCTCTTATGTAATTATGATTTTTCTCCTTCCAAGAGGAAAAGACCATTTGAGAAGAAGAATTAAAAAAAGACCCCATTGGATAATGCTTAAAGGCTCTGAAACAGAAAAAGAACCTTAGTGAAGAACCTAAATAGTGACAGCAGTATGCCTGAAATGTGAAGGATTGCATGAATATTTCTATTTATGACCACTAGCCTATAGAGAACAATGCTGCCTTAGCAAAGTCCTCACTCTTTTTAACATATACTGAACTTTGCAGCGTTAAGCTATATATATTTTCATACATTTCTGACTGAACTTTGTATAATGGTTCTTATGAAAGAAAGTAAAACTGGAGGTCTTTGTACTTCCCACAGCTGTTTTTCAAGCCAGAGCTGTACTTTGTTTTCTGAAATTGATATCCCCATTCAAACAAATATGTGATAAAAAATGTGTTCATGTGTGAAAAAGCCATATGCAGTGCTGAAATTCTGGCCAACTCGTTATACAGATACTACATGCTAGAGAAATGATGACTCAGTAGAAGAGTTTTACTCATCCTGTAACACGCTCAACTTCACAAGCAACACCTTGCCTTCACTACTCTTACTCCTGCCAGGGATCGGGGAGCTAGAGATGTGCATGGCCGTAGGCAGGGTAGCTTAGGAAGCTGTTCTGCTGTTTCTCCTGTGGGTTTGGTTTGATTTTAAATGAGATACATAGTTTGTCTGTAGGACCCAGTACAGCCATGGTGCTTCTCAGTCTCTGAAGGGAAGGAAGAGGCCATTTTGGCCTTTGCCTCCAAACTTGCAAGACTCCCTGCTCTATAATCCCCTACTACCTTGTGTTTAGTGTAGGCATATTAGTGAATTTCTATTCGATGCATTCATTTTGCTAATTAAACAGAGCAGAGAGAAAAAGGACATAGGCTAGACTGAAACTTGTTCATCGTACATGAGCTCATGATGGCTGGCCCAATTGTTCACCTTTTTTTTTCTATCATTTGTATTTACACATCTGGATTCATGACAGAGGTGACCCCGTAGCCCATCCCTTGCTACAGCCCTCTGACAATTAATTGAAATACTATAAATCTGTCTGTAGATGCAGGATCCTTAGAAAACAACAGGTTTCCAAACACACTGCAGGAAATAATCATGGTCTACTCCAGTGTTGTGACTGGACTATGTCTAGCTCAGAGGGTCCCAAAATAAGAAGGACGTGTCCCCGCCTGTGGCAGAAGGTTGGAACTAGACGATCTTTAAGGTCCCTTCCAACCTAAACCATTCTGTGATTCTGTGAAGACAAACTGTATCACTTTTGTTTTCCAAACCTTCCCAAAGCACAGATACAGCACAAGAAGTTCTCTCATTTTAAGCCCATTTTAAAGGGTGAGCTTGAAATATATTCAAAGGACAACTAAAGGTAAAACACTTTTCTAGATATCTCTCTCTATATATGTTTCTCTGGTATTGATGTGTGTCCTGGCCATGGTAGATACCATTCCCAAAGAGGAAAAGAGACACATCCAGAAAGTGTTGTAGGGAAACAAAAAAAAAAAAAAATCAAAAAAAAAAATCCAAATTTTGTCTGGGAAACAAAGCAGCAGTCACAGGTCTTGAAGTACACATGAAAAATAGTCTATTGAAGTGGTTGCTGCATTTTGTTCTCTGTACCATGTCTGAGGCACAGTTTACTGCATCTAGAGAGGCAGTTGGCATGTTCCCCTTCTTCAAAGAAATCCAAAGAAATCCTGCCAGAACACACCTGCTTCAGACTGAGCATAACTATGCTTAGGATCTCCAGACTCACTTCAGGGCTGGGGTCTAAACAATTATAATATTGGGGTGTAGTCCATATGGAGAAAAGAAAGAAGGGAAAGGGAAAGGAAAAGGGAAAGGGAAAGGGAAAGGGAAAGGGAAAGGGAAAGGGAAAGAAAAGAAAAGAAAGAAAAGAAAAGAAGAAAAGAAAAAGAAAGAAAAGAAAAGAAAAGAAAAGAAAAGAAAAAAGAAAAGAAAAGAAAAGAAAAGAAAAGAAAAGAGAAGAGAAGAGAAGAGAAGAGAAGAGAAGAGAAGAGAAGAGAAGAGAAGAGAAGAGAAGAGAAGAGAAGAGAAGAGAAGAAAAGAAAAGAAAAGAAAAGAAAAGAAAAGAAAAGAAAAGAAAAAAGAAAAGAAAAGAAAAGAAAAGAAAAGAAAAGAAAAGAAAAGAAAAGAAAAGAAAAGAAAAGAAAAGAAAAGAAAAGAAAAGAAAAGAAAGAAGAAAGAAAAGAAAAATACAAGGTTGTGACTCAAAGGGTCAGTGCCCTGTATCTGCTGCAAGATTTCTCAGAGTAAAACTGTGTTGCCTCTGTATTGGCAGAGGTGCAGTTGTATTTGCTTCTAGGGTCTGGTGTTGGGAACTGGTGGCCAACAGAGGGGTTCAGAGGAGGGCTACAAGAGGGGAAGGTACGTCTTTCAATGAGAAGCTCAAGTATATCAATCTGTTTAGTTTAACAAAGACAAGGTTAAGGGGAGAGTTGGATATAATTTATAAATTTCCTGTCTCCCTGTAGAAATAGAGGAGTAGAAATTCAATAATATATGGCATTTCATTCAAGTGAAAAGAAGTCTGACAGGAACCAGTGAAATTTGAAACTAGACACATTTTAGCATGGAAGGTAATTAATTATTAGAACAATTTACCAAGGATTGTAATGGATTCTTCCTCACTAGGCATTTTGAAATTGGAAATGATTGATTTTTTCAGAGAAATTGTTCCTCTTGTTACTACAGGAGTTAATTCAAGAAAGTCCTATGGCCTGTGTAATACAGGGAAAATATAGATGATCAAAAATAGTAGCTAGTGCAGAGCTGCCTATGTCCTATATTCTCCTACCGTAACTTGTAAGTATGGTTCAAACATTTTTCCCTTTATTTATGTTTGCTTGTGAAATTTACAGTAAAGGACTATAAAATGAAATACATGCTTGTTGTGTGGGTGGGACATTTTCTCTGGCGTATGGATTCAGAGGTTTTAAAGGTGGGAAACTACTAATTGTCTGGCCTGAGTACCTCCAGCACAGAGCACTGCGTTTCATCCCACTATTCCTCCACCACCTGAGGACCTGATGTCTAATTGATAATATGAAACTTGGGGGAGTGGCTGATGCACCTGAAGGCTGTGCTGCCATTCAGTGGGACCATGATAGGCTGGAGAGTTGGGCAGAGGGAAACCTTATGAGGTTCAACAAGGACAAGTGTAGGGTCCTGCACCTGGAGAGGAATAATCCCAAGTACCGGAACAGGTTGAGGAGTGACCTACTAGAAAGTAGTTCTGCAGAGAACTGGGAGTCTTGGAGGATGACAAGTTGACCATGAGCCGGCAGTGTGTCCTTACAACCAGGAGGGCCAATGGTATCCGGAGGTAAATCAGAAAGAGTGTGGCCAGCAGGTTGAGAGAGGTGATCTTCCCCCTCTATGCACCCCTGATGAGGCCACATCTGGAATACTGTATTCAATTCTGGGCTCCTCAGTACAAGAAAGGCAAGGAGCTACTGGGTCCAGCAGAGGGCTACGAAGATGATAAGTATTCTGGAGCGTCTCTCTTATAAGGAGACACTGCAGGAGCTGGGTGTGTTTAGTCTAGAGAAGACTGAGAGGGGATCTCATTAATGCATATAAATATCCCAAAGGAGATGGCAAGAGGATGGTGCCGGACTCTTTTCAGTGGTGCCCAGTGACAGGACAAGGAGCAATGGTTGTAAACTAAAATACAAGAAGCTCCACCTCAACTGAGGAAGAACTTCTTTACATTCAGGGTGGCAGAGCACTGAAACAGGATGCTTAGGGAGGTCATGGAGTCTCCCTCTTTGGAGACATTCAAAACCCACCTGAAAACATTCCTGTGTTACCTGCTCTAGGTGACCTCGCCTAGTCAGAGGAGTTGGACTGGGTGGTCTTCAGAGGCCCCTTCCAATCCTAACTATCCTATAATTCTGTGATTCTGTAATTGACAGCAGCCATTTCCAAAAGGCATATGGGTTATAGTTTGCCATGAGGGTGCAGGAGAAAGTGGGATGCCTTGTCCATCTCAGCGGAATATGAGCTCCTGATTTTTCCAGGCTCTTTTGTAAATTACACCCCAGCCAAAATTCAGAGAATTAGATTCCGCTGTTGCTTAATTCAACCTTGAATTTCAGTGAATTGCACTGGATGAGCCAAAATGATGCTGCATTTGCCACACTAAAAATATCCAAAATTATTAATTAATAGTTCTCCATGGATTTTGTTTTGCAGAATTAAATATAAAGGAAGACAACACTGGACCTCTATGAACAGGATCTCTCTATTCCTGATCACCTTTCACTGAGGAGTATTAAATAAAAAGGAAAAAATCTACTTTAAAGCAGGCAGAGATTTTTTTTTCAGTACATGTCCAAGATCTTCCCAGCCACTGCATCAAACTGTACTGTCTAAACACAGCAGAGTGTCTGTCTCTGAACAGTGCTCAATGCAAATGTTACTTGACCTAGAAAATTACTGCTCATGAGGAAAGGAGAACCCTTTCGACATTTTGATGGTAAGTCATGGAGACCAACTATACAGAGAACTGTAAATAAACATTGACTTCAAAGTGTAGCTCTGGGCAGTTCTTTATAGTTCATCTGAAGCCATTACAACATTCATAGCTATATAAAAGAGCCAAGATAGAGGAGGGAGTGTCCTTTGTTACAGGTGGAAAAAAATGAATATAACAGTTTTTGTAATCGAAGAGGTTAGTTACTTTTACCTGCAAACTTTGTGTCTTTGAACTGCCACAGCTACAATGCTGCCACTCTATCTCCAAAAACATTATTGTTAGTAGGACTGTTTTTACATAAAGAACAGAATACATGAGAAATAAATCAAAAGCAATGATCATATCTAGTGAAATGTGCACTTTAAAGCATATTGAGAAAATATTTGTTTGATATTCTCACAGTTTTGCTTCTTTTTTTTTTTATTAAATTAGATTGTATAAAAAATAATGCCATTTCTCTCTCCAGTAGGTCTGCATGAAAACAGCAGTCAAAAAATGAGCTTAAAGAATCCACGGGTTGAACTATTCATGTCAGTTTATTACTTAACAGAATATATCCTTTTATGAATTTTATCCATGATCAAGTTGAATCCATTTGCTATAATCATGCACCATCCCTTTGTGAAGAAGAACGAACCCATAACGGTTTTTTTAACTTCATATCAAAATATAATAAAGACAATATATAAAAAAACCCAATCTCTCATTTTAACTGAACAAAAATAAGGGAAGAGGAGCTAGATACTGGGTATCACTTTAATTTTTCATGAAAGTTAGGTGACATCAACGCTCAAACAGAAAGCAAAACTAATCCCTTCCCACCTTCCTTCTGAAGCCCAAAACAGTCACTCATTTACTTAATGACTGTAATGTAGAGCTACACTTGGACTAGCATGTTAAACACCTGAACAAGAGTCAGCTTGCACAGAGAATGAATGATTCAGATATCAGTGATCTGACTACTGCTGATGTGCATTAACAGCAGAGATTAGTCAGTCAGCTGTCTGCAAGTTTCGGGTGGCAAAATGAGCAATAAGTGGTGATGCATTGTAAGGCATTAGAGATTTTTGGAGGATGAGGGAGAAGGAGGGAAAATTGCTGCTATCCACAGTATGATTTAACAAGTAATGGCGACTTGGGAAGAATAAAAAGAAGACACTCAGATCCTCACGTATTTGCAATATTTGATCAATTAGGTGATTAGAAAGTGAGCCCAGGTCAGGGTGGCATTGGTGAGATTATACTTTTGAACTCACGTTCTGCAGAATTTTGATCAGGACATACACAACAACCTGACTTCTTGTATTTCTCTTGTTGAATTTTTTTTTGTAGTGATCCTAAACATTTAGTTAGAAATTTTGCTAGTAGCAAGGAACAACTGTCCGTTTGAGAGGGGTGCTCAATGCAGTGAGCACAGTCTGGACATTCAAGATAAACTCTCTCAGAACCCTGCAGTTAGTGGAAAAAACCCATTGCTGCAGGCCAATACTGACACATCCCTGCTAGGCTGGGCTCTGGCACTGCCAACATACAAATGTTTCACACTTAACTTTTAAAAACAGCTTCTTATATGGGAATTTTGCAATCAAACCCCCTCACCCCAGAAGCCTGCTCCAGTTTCTAATGTGAATCACTGTTGCTAGACAAACCTACACTTCAGGTTTATTGATACTGTGTGAGAAGTGTACTGGGCATAAGGGATTTACCTATTCTGAGACCTCCACCCCCACTGTAATACCTGTTTTGGGAACTGGATTGCTGCTAGCAAATATGGGTAAAAATAATTTATTGTACAACAAAATTTCTCAAGGGAATGCTATGTCTGGCTGCTTTACATAGGCTCTGAAAAATCATTTTGAAATGACACAGTGATAAAATGTAAAAATCACATTTAGCTTGCACCTGAAGTCTAAACATAGGTCCAAAGCTAAGGTCACGCCTAACAGGAGGCACTGCCATGTCCCTGAGGCATTGGGATGGCCGAAGCTACCTGCTCTTAGAAGTAGCTTCTAAGAGCCCACAGTGGGATAACTGACTTCGTCTCCTCATCATGAGTCTTTTGACATGATGGAATGATATGGACAACTTCTCCAGACTTTTGAATAAATGACATCTTGCCTGAAATATCGGCATGTACTCTTCAGAGGTCTTGCTGTGAAGGAGGGAGGTTTTAATGAGTGGGCAGCATCAAGTCAGGCCACTTTCTCCTGGCTTTTTTCTAATTGCTGCCAGCCTCAACTAGAGATGGGTGTAATGAACCTGGTGCTGGAGGACTTCGTGGCCTGGTCCACCCCTGCAGCTTCCCAGCAGAACAGGCCAGAGAGGCACAGATGCACCTTCTTGGAGGGGACAGGGAGGAAGATCACACTCTGCCACCCACAACCTGCTGGAAGACCCACTGCAGAGCGGGCAGGCTGCAGCCACTCCCACTCCCAAGGCCAGTGACATTGTCATTCCCTGCCCCAAGCCTGGTGAAGTGCTAACACAGCATTTTCCAACCCAGAGATCAGGCCCTCTGAAGACCAGGCACATCTGGAAAGATGCTCAACAGCAGTGCAGAAGAGCAGGGAGTGAGAAGAGACCTCTGCTGCAGTTCCCTGCTTTGAAGGGGCAGAGGTGGGACTGGGGGAGAAGCAGCAGATGGGAAGTGCCCAGCCACTGCATGCTTCACCCTTCCCATCCCCTTGTCCCATGCTTCTGCTTTTTGCTACTTCTCTACTTGTTGTTTTTTTTCAGTACACTTCCAAGTATTTGTTTTGTGAATAACAACAGAGGTACAGTTATATTTATCAGCAGAGGTGATTACTTTAGAAGCCCAAACTGAGCACTGAAAACTTAAAAAGCTTTAATTTGCCCATTCCTATAGATAACCATTTTCAAAGAAATTACCTCCTTGAAAGCAACAGCTTCTTTGTGACAATAATGCTGTCGTGTAGGAGGGCACGTTTACAACTCAGACACAAGTGGAAACATTTCTTGTACTGTTCAAACCAAAACACAATCACAGTTTTTAAGAAGGAAAAAGCCACTTTCTCCTCTCATCCATTATTCTGTATAACACAAGTCACATAATTTCATCTGTTTTCTTAGTATCCTGCAACTCTCAAAGTATGTTGTGCTTAGGAAGATGGATATTTTCCAGACATTTGAAAAAAAAAACCACCTCATCTGGTCACGTTAGATGGGGCTTTCAGATGACAGGTTTAGCCTCTACCTGTAATTAATCAGCTGTCTCCCACCTGATGAGATAAGGCTAACAAGCAGCTTACTTAATGGAGGGAGCCTGCTGTGGCTGAAGAGACTGGGTCATGTTAAGGATAAGGTTCTGTTATGCAAAACTGGGTGATCTGCCTGCTATCTAGGTGATGGTAGAGAGCTGAAAGGAGTCAGGTGGTAAGATTTGGCTTACCTATTTTACCTGGCTTTGAGTTATGCTCTTGACTGATTTAGTCCCTTTGGGAAGAGTCTTGGAAAGCACTGCCTGTACTCAATTCAGCTAGCTGGTCTGCCAGCCTGCTCAAGGGAAACGGAGGACTGAGGAGATGCTTGTGAGTGGAAAATGTTCATCTGATGCAAAGGTTATTTTACTACAGTAATCCATGCTGACCTGTGTGAGAGATTTGATTGTGGTGCATGTCCATTGGCTTTTAACAGCAATTGTGCGATTTCGTACAGTATTTTATCTATATTTCTGTCCTTGAGCTATGTTGCAACTGTAAATGCTAATGAGGAATGTGGAGAGTTTCCCACCACACAATGCAGAGCTCTGTAGAGGATGGTCAAGGCCTAAAAAATTAGACAGCATGTTAACCTCTTCTACAGGAGTTCTTTTAATTCACTAGTGAAAGCATCTGTACCATAAGGGACTTCAGATCTTGCTAGAGCTTCCCTTAAAGCCTTGCAGTACCAGGTGCTGCACACAAATTGATTTGGTAACTCCCTCTAACCAAGTTCTTACCATCTGTCATTGCAGTGCTCAAATGGGTCTCTCGATCTGGCAGTACGAATGCTCAGATCTCAGAGAGACTTATGCAGGAACACTGCCCTATTTGTAGTCCAGGCAAAGATCCAAAAAAAAAAAAAAAAAAAAAGATCTGGGTACCAGAGTGTAAATCAGGCAGAACTTAAAAGGCACAAAACCAGTTTGTCATCTTTTACTTTTATTTGCCATCAAAACCCTACTGTGGTGTGTATGGGTATAGTACTGTGGTTCTCTTTCAGTTAACGGCTCAAAAACGCCTGGAGGCCAGCTCCCTTCCCTGTGAATGAGTGCCTGCACTACACTAGATGGCACTGCTTAATACTCACGTTTTTGTCTTGTCTCTGCTATGACGGTTCCCTGGATTTGGAGCATCCTGTAGCTGCAACTTCAGACAGTGCTCTGTGTTGCTGGTGATGGGATGGACTGCAAGGAGGTACTGGGAGCAGTCGTGTAACAAGGTAGTAGCAACAGTCATCAGAATCACATTCTGAGTTCATCTCTTTACCCTAATAAATAGGTAAAGCAGAGTCTTTTAGAGATTACACACAAATTAAGACTGAATTCTGATGTTATCTTTTACTCTTGCTAACATCCCTCATCTCCTTCCTTTCATGACTGGAATAAAAAGCATGGGTAAAATTCCTGCAGACATCAGGCCTCTTAGAAAGCAGGAAATCGGAGTGATAATACAACTGTTAGATACTGATCAATAAATATCGGGAGAGGACAAGCTGTAAAGTAACAAGTCTGCTCTCATCAGTAGCCTGTAGATTTGGCAGTAAACAAATGTGTTTGTTTTCAGAATAGTGTTCAGCTGATTCAGAAATCTGATTCTTGCAAGGAGGGGCTGAACAACGTTTAGGATTGCTGTTGAACAATACTATGTTGTGCCCTTCACTCACTATTAAATTGCTGAATACACCTAAAATGTGAAAGCATCAAGTCCCACCAGTATTTTATGCGCTTTTTGAAAGATGATGCATGCTTACAGAAGTCAAGCATCAAATGTCACGACTAATGTATGGCTGTTTCATAACTTCAAAATGTGTTGTGAAAGGAGCTACTAGTTGAAGTACTGACTTCCTCCAAGAGTAAGCAGAGAGGTAAGTGCTCTTAACCTAAGTTAGATACTTTGAAGTCAGCTGGGCCTAGAATATTACAAACTGACTAAAGTTTTAGTAGAATACAACAGTTACTTCTGAAGGTGGGTAAAGTTCTGGAAAAGGGTAAAGGGGATAGGTCTCTCGGGAAAAAGATGGGAAAAGCAGAGGATTTTGGTCATTGTAGGTTGGCCAGTCTGATCCAGTTCCCAGAAGGAGAACACATAAAAAGACTGGCTAAGTAACAGGGGGAATGGCAAAGAAATAAGTAACAGCCTGTGGATATGCCACCTTACTTTCTCTTACACTGAAATGGATCTTTTAGTTGATTTGAAGCATCAGGGACATCTTGGCTGTTTTTATGATGATTCGTTTGGTTTCTGACTTGGACGGTGGAAGTGGGAATTAAATCTGAAGATTACTGCAGGTGGGAGGGCATGCAAATGCACACAAGGGTTACTTAGAATTTAAAAGATCTGGAAAAATGGATTAAAAATACTGGGTGAGATTCAATAAAGATAAATAAGATGCAATAGTTTGTTAGTTGATTATTCCTCCCCAATAGAGGATGAAAAATAAATGGTTAGGTTGCATTTTTTCAGAAAAGGGTCTTGGGAGTATATTAATCATAAATCATAGCTGTGCTCTTGCCAGCACACCCCCTGTGTCTCATAAGAGTGGGAGATACAGACAGAAATATAGATTGCAAGACACGGGGAAAGATCCTTTTTCCACCCATCATTGATCAAGCCTCAGCTGGAGAACTGTGACTGGTTTTGGATATTATACTTGAAGAGCAATGTGGCACACTTGGAGAGCATCCAGAGAAGAATAACATGTTCTCTTTAGTAAAGAACATAACTTACAAATAAATTATTTCTAAAAAAACTGCCTAGATTAGGAAAGAAAAATCTGGGAGTGGAAAAAAAAGAATTATCAAAATTTTCAAGAATATAGATGCTGTTTCAGAGAGGAAGAGGCTCTCTCCAAACATGGTGAATAAGAGCTATGGCTTTAAATTTGTTCAAGGAATATTGGGGTTTGACATGAAAAAATCTTGCAGATATTGTTATTCCTGTCTTGAAACAGAGAGAGGGACTAGGTAATCCCTTTCTGCCCTGTTTTTCTGTCATGATAGTAATTTCATAGTAATTAATACTAACAATTTCATTTTTAAGGATACAGCTGTGCCACTCCAGATCCTGCATCTGGTAAGCTGGCAAGGCTGATGCTGTATTTTTAGACCCTAACCTTGAATTGTATTGGTGTTTAAACAATGTTCTCTTTTATTTTCCTTTCGGTCACGCTGAATTGCTCATCTGAAATAAAAAACATGGATGTGACTATGTTTCCAAGACTTCCCCACTGAATGTTATACATACTTCTTTTTTTACACTCGTAACCCAGATTACAAAATATAGTAAAAGGAAGAAAATAATAATATTTCAAATATGATCATTTATATCTTGGGGTTTTGTCCCAGTGGCTCAGTAAGTAGTAGGTTTAGACTAAGCCTTTTAGCATGGCTACAAACCAAGCCCTATATATATATATATATAGGGAGGGGACCTTGTGGGTCCCTTCCAATTCAGAATGTTCTGTGATTTTGTGATTCTGTGAAAGGAGCGGGGGATGCTGGTCACCAGCAGCGTGCCCAGGCAGCCAAGAAGACCAATGGCATCTTGCCTTCTATAAGAAATATTGTAGCCAGCAGGACCAGTGGTTGTTGCAGAGTGGTGATTGTCCCTCTGTGCTCAACACTGGTAAGGCCACATCACAAGTCCTGTGTCCAGTTCTGGGCCTCCGACTTCAGAAGAAACATTGAGCTACTGGAGCGTGTCCAAGCATTGGAACAGCTGTCCAGGAAAGTGGTGGAGTCACCACCCTGGAGGTATTTAAAAGACTTGTGGATGTGGCACTTAGGGACATGGATTAGTGGTGGGCTTGGCAGTGCTGGGTTAACAGTTGATCTCAATGATCTTAAAGGTAATTTCCAATCTAAATGATTTTATGGTTCTATGGCATGATGCAGCAAACAACTGCAGAAAGAAGTCACTTGATATAGAAGGGTGTGTCAAAAGAGTATCAGATTTCTGTCAGGTATTTAATTTTGCCAACATTGAAATGGAACATAAAATGTCATGTTTCTTCATCAAACCCTGGCAAAGGAGATAAAACAGGGAGACATCATTAAGACAGGAAAAGTTTTCATCCTTTTTTTTTCAGCAAACAAAAGGACTTTCCTATAATGCAGTCTTTTTCTCTGATAAAAATGTTGATTTTTGAAATGTTAACTCTCAGTGATGTGATGAAACTGCAGAAAAATTGGATATTAATATATATCCAGTGTTTTAGGAGGGTTTTGCAAACTAGCACTTTAGTAAGAAATATGAGTGTATACTTTGGGAGTCTTGTGTTAGAAAAAGGACTCATGCTCTGTTTTCAAAGCTTACTTCTGTCACACTTGTAAAGTGCTGTGGAATTTATGCACAGTGTCAAATATAGAATTGGAAAGAGTATTTTTCTTATGTAAGCATTGTAGGGCAGATGACAGAAGCCTGCTAAACCTTAATTTGAAGCTCAGGTACAAATAAATTTTAACTTTACAATATAAAGTTTTATAGGTGGATTTAAAAATGTATGTTTTACCTAGAATTAAATCTTATTTTACACAATAAATTGAGACATAACTGATTGTATTTGAAGATGGTAGGAATGTACACTTAAAAGCAAAGTATTCTAAGGAAATCATGTACCCCTAAAAGTAATGATAAAAAGAAAATATTTTGCCCTTCATGTCACTGTCCTTCATTTCTGCATAAAAAAAAATTATTTCAGTATGTATAATAAGGAGGATGGAGTGGATACCTCATAGGTCCTTCCTTTCTTCTGCTTACCTTGACCCTTGTTCTTCTTTCTTTTGGGTTCCTTTACATGAGTGCCCCAACTTTGTCTCATCGGGTAAGTCCTGGGCCTGGAAGAGGGTTGGACTAGATGAGAGGACAGCTAGATGCTAGCCACTAAATTTGCCAAAGAGCCCTAAGCCTATAACCTCCCTGTGTTTTTCTAATCCTGTTAGATGTTTACCTACTTAAATAGATGTTCAAAATCTCTCTATAAATTACTTACAGGTGTAAATCCCATTCAAAATCAATAGCAATTTTTTTTTGCCTAAGTGATCAATTTTAAAATCCTACCCATATCTTTAGTGCTCACTTGAGTTTCTTATGGTCTATATTTGCTGTGACTAGACCTCTGTTTTTGTAGACTTGCTGCCATCTGAACTCATCAAGGTAACTGTGATGAAGAAAGAATGCTATTTTTGATGGAAACAAACTTAGAGATTTTGTGATTTTTTTTTTCTTGTTATTATTATGCTTCTGAAAAAGGGGACTAGTTAAAGGACACAGCTCCTGTTTTTCCAGCAAAAATGCTTGTTCCTGGTTGCACAGAATCTGCTATTCCACAATAAAGCAAAATCAGAGGTAAAGGCCTAAATGTTGAAGTGCTGCAAATAGGCAATGTTTATTCTTCCCTGCACCACAAATCGGTTTTGTTATAGAATCATAGAATCCTGTAGGTTGGAAAAGACCTTTAAGATCATCGAGTCCAACTGCTGCTGATATGCACAGGAGTCACACAGAATCACAGAATGGCTCAGGTTGGAAGGGATCACATTGGGTCACCTCGTCCAACTCCTGCTCAAGCAGTGTAATCCTAGAGCACTCTGCACAGGATTGTATCCAGATGGTTCTCTGATATTTCCAGCGAGGGAGACTCCACAACCTCTCTGGACAATCTGTTCCAGTGCTCAGTCACCCACACAGGAAAGTTCTTCCTCATATTCTGGTGGAACTTCCTGTGCATCAATTTCTGCTTGTTGCCTCTTTCCTGTTACAGGCACCACCGAGAAGAACCTGGCTCCAACTTCTTGGCACCCCCACTTTAGATACTACTAGACAATGATAAGGTCCCCTCTCAGTCACTTCTTCTCAAGGCTGAACAGGCCCAGCTCCCTCAGCCTTTCCTCATAAGAGAGATGCTCCAGTCCCTTGATCAATTTTGTAGTTCTCCACTGGACCTGCTCCAGGAGCTCCATGTCTCTCTTGTACTGAGAAACCCTGGACTGAGAACCCAGTCATATACATGTATATATGTAATACAAGCTAGATATTGAAAACCTGTGATTCAAGAATTTTAGCTCTCCTGTGAATTAGCATAAATAATGTGAAACACTTTTCCTGAAACCTACTTTTAATGATGAAAATATTGGTATTTTCAGTGCAAAGGTACATCTGTTTTATTTAGAACAATGCCGAAAGTTAACTAATTATTTCACTTTGCAGCTAGTAAATGATCCTGACTCAGTAATGAGTTGTCTTACCCCTGTGCATTTCACACAGGCAGCAGGGACCACATGTTCATGTAGAAAAATAAGGTTTAAAGGTCTTCTACCTGCTTGAAAGAATAATTTTGAAAAAGCTGGTCATAACAGTCAAAATTTGGTGGAGCATTTCCTATATTAATCCTTTAATACTTTTAGCTTTTTGTGGGTTTTGTAATTTACTTTGTTTTTTTTCATACTGAAAAGTAGGGTTTTCTGCACTATTTGGCCCTAGGACTGTCAGTAAACACCTATGTGAAATCAACATGGTTTGATTTTACACCCAAGTGTAAATCAGTTTAAAAACTAGGTTGCTTGTTTTAAGTGATGAAGTCATAAAGTACAAAGTTAGCTACTTTTATAGATGAGGATGCTCCACACTGGGGGCACAGCATTGGCCTTGTCCAGCAGGCTTTACTTCCATGTTTCCTGAAAATTAAAAGGGAGAGAAGAGTTACAGCAGGATTTCACAACTGTCCCCTAAAGCAGATAACTTCCAGTGTGGAAAAGGGACTTGTGTCTTGTTAAAAAAAATGCAACGCCTCAGTCACGATCTGAATCTTGTTTCAGTGCTGGCTTTTAAGAGAGCATGGCAAAAGGGTGGTTGTCTTGGTTAGATGCATTCACAAACCCCAAAGAATGCACTAAATAAAAACTAGTTATCACGAATGTTTTTCAGGCCCTCACTGCCAGTGGCTGCACGTTTCCTAAAATCTTTCCTCCAAGTGTGTTATTGTATACAAAAAGTTGGCATGCACATGCATAACACGTCTGAGCGCAGATGTTTTTCGTGATCTTAGTGGCGTCTTTTTTCCCCCCACTTTTCTCCCTTTCTTTCTGTGTGCTTGTGGATGTGGAGTAGAGAAGGAGATGGAGCACGTAATGAGAGCCTCATGTTTGTCAGCTGTGGAAATAGCGTTCTCCTTAATGTTTTTTTCCTCTCAGAACCTCATATTTACTATTTTAAGTGTCCCAGCAGCTTGCACAAGATAGAAGAAATGCCATATAGAAAAGCCAGGCTGGGCTACACTAGATCAGCTTGAGAAGCAGATACTGCTACCTCCCAGCCCAGAGGTGAGGTGGCCTGAGAGACCGTGCTGAGTATTTTCTACCTAAAGGAAAGAACAGCCTCTGTTTGAAAGAAAAAGCTTCAAACTTGGGCAACATTCCCATCAGTACCGATTGTACAACAAAATCTACCTAGTTCCAGTGAACAAGTGAGAAGTAAATTCACTATTCTGCAGTTCTATGAAACTGTCCCCCGTCAAGTTTGTCACTGCTCTTTGGTGGGTGGTGGCTTAGTTTTTCTACTCTGAAGGGAGGAAAACATGCATTTGTCACGGTCAAACTACAAATTAAATTCATAAAAATACTGGTAATATGGTTTCAACTGCTAACACGCTCCCATGAATGTTACATATACCTACAAAATCACCAGGAAGCTCCACATAGCAGAAGAGGGCAACTTGCTGAAAGCTGTATTAGGTGAGCAGAAGCTAAAAAAGTACCACTGGCTATGGAGGTTCACCTCATGCTGCATAGCTGCTTTTGCTCCTCATCATGAAATGCAACAAGCTTGAACAACACGTGGCAGTTTTGTAAGGGTAAGAGAGGGGAGAGTCAAGGCTGTTTATAGATCAGACCTTCCCCAGTCACAGTTTATGTTCACATAGCAAATGGCACTTCATTATTCAAAGTTTTTTGGAGTTGAAATCACTGGGCCCTACTGGGTATTAGTGATACCAAAGTGTTTCCTGTTTCATGAAATGGTGGTGGGGGGAGGATGCTGCCTGTAAAATATAACATGCTCTACAAATGTCCCTGTTCCCCTCTCAAAGTCTGGACTTTCATTTCTATAGCAGCCTGAGAGGTAGATAAATGCTCATTTTACAGGCAGGGAAATTGGGGTTATTGAAAGACTGAAGCATAACAGAAGTAAACTCTCTAGTTCTTCTATTAATCCATCAGAGCTACAACTAGCATCCAGAGCATTCCAATTCTCAACTTATTTTTTAGTTACTGTATTCATATCTGTTTTGAAAATGCTTACATGTCCGAGGTCCCCTTGGGAACCTTGGACCAACTGTTCTGTGTGACTAGAAAAATAAAGATGAAGCAGAACACTGAGACTGTGAGCCTTGGAGGTTTAAAATGTGATTAATTTGAATTTTTGAAATGTCATTAAATAGTTTAAAAAAATTTAATAACAACTTTCTAGTCTTCCTAATTCAATAAAACAAGATTAGGGACCTAATAAAAAAATCCAGCTTCC